TTCTTTGACATGTATGGCAAGCTGCCTATAAATGTCCTGTATATTTTTTATTTATTTCATTCTTTATGGAAATTCACTTCCCTTTCAGGTTTTGGGCTGGAGACGAGGAGAGCAATGAATTGCACTCTAATTGTTATGTTAGAGCTAAAATTTGCTTAGGATATGAGGGTCACCTGGAGTCCAAGGCCCTGTCCAGGTGGCTTTTGACCATCTCCAGGGATGGAAACTCCACCACCTCTCTGGGCAACCTCTTCCAGTGTTCAGCTGTCCTCACCATAAGGAGGTTTTTCCTTATGTTCAGACAGAGCTTGCTGTGTTTCAGTTTGTGCTCGTTGCGTCTCACCCTGCCACTGGGCACCACTGAAAAGAGTCCAGCCCCGTCCTCTTTACACCCTCCCTTCAGGTGTTTGGATGCATTGATAAAGTCCCCCCTTAGTCTACTCAAGGGTAAACAGGCCCAATCTTTCCTCATGGGAGAGGTGCTTCAGCCCCTTTGTCATCTTCGTGCCCTTTGCTGGATTCACGTCCAGTAGCTCCATGACTCTCTATCCGGTTTGGGATCATCACCATCCCCGCCGAGGAGGCGCTCTGTCCCTCATGGATAAGTTAAACAATATGGGCCCAGACCTGACCCCTGGGGAACACCAGTTTCGAGGAGAGATCTCCCCCTCTCCAGCTGAATCCTCAGCAGGATTTTTCCTTCTGTTTTTTCCGTCTGCTCCGCTTCTTATGCAGCCCAGTCCGTAAGATGGAGCTTAGCGTCTCATTCGTATCGCAGCATCTGCGCTGACCCAGAGCGTTCATTTTCCCAAAGGCATCTCTAGTCCTCCTGGCTATGCAGGTAACCAGAAGGAACACGAGCTGCGTTCAGCTGAGCCGGTGAACTTTGCTGCTGCCCAGTAAAAGGAGCTCTCATCTCGCCAGGGCTAAGCCTCAGAGCTCGAGTATTGCTGGTATTACTGCCCTCCGATCACTTCGAGCTGCTTCTACCTCCAGATTTGCTCGCTGAGGGTGGAAAATCATCATCACTACATCTCCAGCGCCGGGATCGCCAGGCTCCTCAGCCTGCTCTGTTCATCCATTGACACGCTGTGGCTGCAAAAACCTGCAGCTTGTTACAGCGAAAAGCATTAGAGTTCTCTGTAAAAATGAATGCAATCATCCGCTGAGTTATTTTCTGCTTTCCATGGTGGAAAACCTGCAGTTTAGCCTGAATTTCAGCATGCTGCGTGGTGACCTTCGCGTGGCAGAAGGGGCTGCCCGGCCTGGGCACAGTTCCCTGGCCAATAGGTCCCAGCTCCTGGCATCGCCCCACTCACTCCATTGGCTGGGATCTTCATCCCCTCTTTCCCGGGAGCAACCAGCAGGCACCTGGGGAAAGGAAGGTTGAGGTTTGTTTTTATGGGGGTGGGAGGTTTGTGGTTTGTTTTTGGACAGAGCTCTTGCTATTTTGCCTTGCTGTTTGTTCAAGAAATCGATGGGAACGAAACAGCCGAGTTAGCAGCGATTCCAGGCAGGGGTTTTCCCCCAGCTGAGCGTTTCTGCCGCAGGCTGGTGCCAGTTACATGGCAGTGACAGGGTGCACATTTTGCTGCAGCCCATGGCAGTGGCTGCAGGCAGGCGAAAGCAGCGGTGGGGCAGCTGCTCCTCGGGGTTTATGGCAGAAAACAGGAGTTGTTCTTCTGAAACCCTCTAATTTACCTCCCTTTCCTGGCAGTGATTTGCCAAGGGGTGTGTATGGATGCATGCACACACGTTCGCCTCATGGATCTGTACGGACCAGCACAGCACAAACTCATTCCCTCCTGAATCCTGATTATTTTTGCCTAAGTTTAGCTGCAGGGAAAGCAAGAGAATTTCTGTCCTTGTTTCATGCCAGAGCATTTCCCAGCTTTTTTTCCCCCCTCCCTCTTACTGATCTGGGCTCTAAGTGTTACAAAACAGGAAGAAGAGGGTTGAATAAGGGCAGCATGGTGACCTTGGCTGGTCCTAAGCTTCTCGGGAATGTCCTGGAAGGCACCTCCATTGCAGTGTGTATTCTTGAGTCTGGGGTAGAAATTATCCTCAGTGGAATTTGGTTTGTAACTTATTTGTTTTGCTTATTCCATAGGATCTGCAGGGTGCATGTGCATCGCATGCTGTTCTCAGTGTCATGGCTTGGAAGCAGCTGCTGTACTGGAGGCCGTAGCTCCACACAGGCTCTTTTTTCTCCTTTCAGCAGAGAGGCTCCTTCAAGTGCTGTGTCCCCTCCGCTGCTTGAGACTTGTTTCAGGACATGAAACTGCTTCTGCTGCAGCTCTGCTTGTAGCCTGGTTTTTAGTGAATTGCGAGCCTTGAATCTTCATATTCACTAAAAAGTATTAAGCAAGCGAAGCAGGGATTTCTTCCAATGAGAAATCATGTCATTAAGAGAGAATGAGAAATGATGTCATTCTCCTGTCAAGAGAAATAATGTCATTAAGACACAATGTCTGTGTCTTAATGACAAACCACTAATGGGCTTTCAGTTCCTTTCCTGCCTCTCCTCAACACATCTATTCGGTCCAGGGAAGTCATCCAGCTTTCCTCCTGTGCCAGTTGTGATCTGAGGCATGTTGCACTCACCTGTAGGTGAAAGGATTCCCATTTGGGAATTTGGGAAATCCCACTGGGCCGAGTTTTGCTGCAGATGTTTCAGGCTGCAATGACTCTGCCTACACAGCTGCAGAGTGGAAACTTTTGCCTGCTGGATATCGAGCCAGACGCGCTGTCCTTGCTCTCCTCTTGAGAAACCTTCACAAATGTTTTGTTCCATGTGATGCTTAGCTGCAATTTTGCAGGATTTTCAATGGTGGGACCTGGACTTGATCTCCACCCTTGTGTTCTGATCTTATTTTGCTACCTGGTGTTCAAAGGACTCCTTTATGAAGGACTGCACCTCTTTGTGTCCCTCTTTCTCTACTAGGTGCTGTAGAGACTCTTAGAGGGTCACTGACTCGACCCTGTGGAGCATAGACTCATGTGGTAGTGGTCTACAATGGCTATTTGTCAGAAAAAAACATGCATTTACAGAAATATTAACATTTTTCCAAAGCAGATGAATCACACAGCCCTCACTTCATCATGGATTACTAGTGCATGAGAGGGGATATGGCTAAGAGCAATGGAGAGTTTCCTGGCCTCCATGGAAGCCTCCTGGCCTCCAGAGTGTGTGCTTGTTGCTGAATTTGCATTCTTCCATGCTTTTTCATTAATGATCTCGTTTTCCCTTCTGGTTCTGCTTCCTCTAGAGAGATATTTCCATACTTGGTTGTGGTGATTGGCCTGGAGAACGTGTTGGTTCTCACTAAGTCTGTCGTCTCTACGCCCGTGGACCTGGAAGTGAAGCTCCGCATTGCCCAAGGTAGGCAGCCTGCTCTGGGAAAACCTGGAATGAAAACGGGGGGGAACCTGAGAAGCTGGAGCTGGAGAATGGGAGGAATTCCAACCTGCTCAGAAAACCAGGAATGTGTGTATCTCTAAACATCAGAAAAGAGACTTTGGAATGATTCCCAGTGAACACAAAAGTGTCCAGTTTTAAAGGACTCTGCGCAATTTCTGTCCTGGCAGAAAATGGGGCTCAAAAGCTCAGCAGGCTCCTAAGCTTCTGAATCCCTCTACTGTACTTTTAGATGCTTAAATTAGGACAGTTTTGTGAATTGAGAGTCACCCTGAGCTCTCTTTATAGTTAACGATAATCTGATACAGAGCCTGGACTCTCTAGGCCATTTAATTGGCTTAAAAATAGGCCAATTCAATCCAAAATAGATGAGATCAATTGTAGCTCAAAAATGCCTTTTCTTTTTTGGTCTGTTAGCTGTAGATATCTAATTCTTTAAAAAAAAAAAAAGAAAAAGAGCAATCCAGTGAGGAGTCCTCAGAGCTCGCTCATGTCTGCTCACTAGTGAGCGGTCTCCTCTGAGCTGCCTCTGCGTGTTCTTCCTCTAGGCTTGAGTAATGAGAGCTGGTCCATCATGAAGAACATGGCCACGGAGCTTGGGATCATCCTCATTGGCTATTTCACCCTTGTCCCGGCCATCCAGGTGAGCAGGTGTCTGTCTGCAGGTGGGTGGACGTGCAAGGGGCTCGTGGGCACTGTGAGAGTGCAGGACTCTCTGCAGCCCCTCTGGGGACAACAGGCTTGAGCTGTACAGGAGCACACGGGGCTGTAAGCAATGAAGGACCTTCGATCCCTGCCTTTCTCCATGGCTTCTAGCCAAGGCTCTCAGGAACTGAAGGAGCTTTGGGCTCACGGTGCTGCTTGGGATGTCTCCCTGGTGTAACTGAGAGAACTCAGGGCACAAGGGCAGTGATACGTCCTTGACCTCAAGGTAGGGACAAATATAGCACCAGATATCGGCCTCTCATACCTTTGCTTCAACCTTGAAGAGACAGGATGCCACTGAAGTGACAAATGGGCCTTTCCCTCGGGTCAGCCTTGACTCGTGCCAGTGCTTCTGGCAGCGTCTGCAGCAGAAGGAACATCTCTGCAAGAACCAGACCCTCACAGTCAGCCTTATGAAGGGAGCCATGCCACTTTATCCTCCCAAGTGCCACTTTATCCTCCCTGAAGAGGAGGAGGAAGCCCTGGACAGGAGCCTGAGCCTCGTGG